TCACCCTCTCACCCTCTCACCATCTCAGACAATGGCAACAGATGAAAACACAGCTCCTCACCCTCTCACCCTCTCACCCTCTCACCCTCTCACCCTCTCACCAGCTCAGACAATGGTAACAGATGAAAACACAGTTCCTCACCCTCTCACCCTAGAGGTTGCTAGGAAATTGGAAGAACCATTCTTGGAAGAATAAATTAGAAGGGCTGTTTTGGGATGTGTGGTGACAAAGCTTTTGGTAACAGATGGCTTATTGATGGCCTTTTCTCATGAGTGTCGGATGTGGTCAAAGAAGATTGAAAAAGAGTTTCTGATGATTTTTTTTGAAAGGTAAAGTGGGGAAAATGTATGAATGGTTTTGAGGATCCACTTTCGAAGATGTGGAGCAGAAGGAGATCCCCTATTGAGGAAATTTAATGAATTCATAGACATGTGTGAATTGAAGGAGATCCCCCTATTGTAGACTAGTTTCACTTGGTCCAACTTTCAATAAAACCCATTGTGCTCAAAACTGGATGGATTTTTGTTTAGTATAGGATGGGGAAATGATTGGGAAGGTTTGGTTTCTAGAGCATTGCCTAGAGTCACATCGGATCTCCACCCCATTAGATTAGGATCAGAAAATTTTTACATGGTCTTACTCCTTTTAGATTTGAAAATATGTGGTTTACACATCTGGATTTTGTTTGTAGAGCAGAGGAATGGTGGAAGGAGGGTTCAAGGGGGGTAAGGTGTGAGGGAATCAAATTCCATAAGAAACTGCAAAGATTGAGATCTAAAATAAAAGACTGGAATAGGGGTCGTTTTGGAAGATTAGAAGAAAGGAAGCTTACTCCCATATCTTAGGTTGAAGAATTGAACAATTTGGAGAGTGGGAGAAACCTTAATGTGGAAGAAAGGGAATTGAGATGGAAATTAAAGAAAGAATTGGAGGAAGTCCTTGATAGAGAGGGTATCCATTGTTAACTTTAGTGCCATATCTGTTGGCAAATTATGATTGCTAATTACCATTTTTTTTGATTGGCTACATGAATCCTGTTCTGCCATTCTGTTCTGTTTAGTGTTATATCCATTGTTAAATCATGAGTGCTTAAATCATTTCTTACTATTTCAGCCAATGTCCTTTCTGGTATGTCCCTTGTCCTTTTAGCCCCTTCAACTTGCAACAGATTGCTTCTTCTTATGGGTGCTGTAGATGGCTCTCTGTATACATAGTAAATTCATCTTGATCTACTTTGTGTCATTTTATCACTTATTGGAGCCACCCCTAGGTTTCTTTGAATGACTTCATTTACATCCTATCTTTTCTAGTTTTTCCACTCGTCCATCTCAGCATACACATTTCTGCCACACTCATTTTTTGGACACGTTTCTTGATTGCCCAACACTTTGCTCCATGCAGCTTAAGTTGCCTTATAACCATTTTATAGAATTTTCCTTTTAACCTAAATGGTATTTGCCTATCACATAATACTCTTTATGCACCCCTCCCTTTTGCCTCTCACTGACAAACTCTCCAGTTTGATGGCAGCTATAGAAGCCTAAGTAATCAAAGGGGTGAAGCTGGTATTCAAAGTTGGATTCTAAGAGCTAATGGTGATCTGATCTCGGCCTTTTGTGGGTTGATTGGTGTACCACTAGTATGAGGAGGTTCAATGAGGTTATAAATGCTTTGGAATTGAAGGAGATCCCGATGTCACATAGTAAATTCACTTGGTCAAATTTGCAATCAAACCCAACTTGTTCCAAGTTGGATAGATTTTTGTTTACAGTGGATTGGGAAGAGCATTGAGGGGAGTTGGTATAAAGGGCCTTGCTTAGGGTTACCTCAGATCACTGGCCAATTTTGATTTGCAAAGAAGAAATTCGAGGGAGAGGACTGGCCTTGTTTAGGTTTGAGAACATGTGGTTGAAACGCCCATGGTTTATAGAGAAGAGCAAGGATTGGTAGATAGAGTATAATCCAGATGACATTTGGGAGGGTATGAAATTCCATAGGAAGCTGAAGGGGTTAAAAGCTAAAATAAAAAATTGGAACACCCACCAACTTGGCAGACTAGAAGAAAGGAAGCAATAGTTGTTTCAAATAGAGTCTTTGGATTCCAAGGAAGGGGAAGGAAATTTCGAGGAAAATGATAGGGTTGAAAGATGTGCACTAAGAAAGCAACTGGAGGACATCCTATTTAAAGAAGAAATCAGTTGGAGGCAGAAGTCAAGATGTTTGTGGTTAAAGGAAGGAGATAGAAATACGAGATTTTTTCATGCAATGGCAAATGCCAGGAGAAACAGGAATTGTATCTCCAAACTTAAGGTTAATGGAGCATATGACTCAACATAGGGAAATAGCTAGGGCCTTTGTGGATCATTTCAAATCTATTTTCTGACGACCCTTAGGCAGGAGAATATGTCTAAAAGGATTGGAATGGCCAAGGATTTTGGGAGAAGCTGTACTTTGTCTCATTAATAAAATTTCTGTTACTGATAAAAAAGAACAGATTCTACTGAAGCTGACTAGTGTTTGAGGAGTTCTGCTGCGCCTCATTGCCCTTTGGTGGTGGTGGAAGGAGACTCTAGGAATGCGATCTGATGGATGAATAACTCAAAAAATAGCCCTTGGAGATTTAATTGTGCTCTCAATGAGATCAAAGAGATTACTCCTTTTATAATCTTTTTTTTGGGGAGGGGGGTTGACTTTTTTGTGGTGTTGCTCTCTAGTTTGTACATCTGTCAGGTACACCTTTCCCTATCTCTTTTTGCAGTGACAGCAATGAGATCAAAGAGATTACTCCTTTTATAATCATTGTTTTTTGGGGGAGGGGTTTGACTTTTTTGTGGTGTTGCCATCAGGAAACATCCAGGACCATGGGACCTCCTCTTGAACATGTTTAGTCAGCTCATCTACGATTAGTGCAACTAGATAAGGAGTAAGTGCTGGTAGACTGACTGATACTAAACCTTGAGGAGCTGGTATTAGTAAAATTGGTTACAAGAGAAAGGTGTCTGGTCACTAGCCTTGCCAATGAAAGATAATCATTGGGTGGAGGATTGTTTCTGTTCATATTTCAAAAAGAGGAAGAAGGTTGAGAAATTTTAAGGTGAGAATCATCACAGAGACGACTTGAATTTTGCCTGGATCTTTGCTCTTCTTTGGCAGGATGTCCCAGGAATTATTTCTTTTTCAAGTTAGTTTGGATCAACATTGCAGGTATTCCTTTTAATGCATGGTTTTATCAGACACTTGGAGAAATTGATTAGGGTTGAGGATTTGTTAAAATTTGAATGGGCCTGTCCTGAGGGCTTGAGCCCAATGCAGTGTAAATTCTTAAAACCGGGTATACAACTTGCACCCCTATAAATTGGGAATGTGTTTGGTCACTTCAAGGTGGTGGATCAAAGAAACCTTTAATGGGTGCTTCTAAGTCAATTTTAGATTAAATTCCAAATAGATGCTGATTTGATTTATACCAGTGAAACATATGATCTGTGGATTTTAATTGAAGGAGAGGATTTTTGTATTGGCTTGATTGATCAATATGACTCATCTTCAGTTTGGTGAGAGGTAGATGATGTGCTTATCCAAGAGGAAAATTTTGAGGAGTGTCAATTAGATCAGTCCATATGATGGTAGTATTCAATGCTAGGGAGGCTGGCTTTTGTCTCGTAGACAGGTTTGATCTTAAAGCAAGATTAAGGGTGAGGATTTGGACGATGCTATTGGAGTGGATTATTTGAGTAGGCTGTCCACTGTGAAGGTTTATTTTGAAGTCTCAATTGGTAAACCATGGCTTGATTTGGTCTGCTTACCCAGGAGGACAATTTTGAGGAGTGGCAATGAGATCAGTCCATAAGATGGTAGTTTTCGATGCTACGGAGACTAACTTTTGTCTCATAGCCAGGTTTCATCTTCAAGCATGACTGAGGACGACGATTTGAACGGTGCTATTGGAGTAGATTGTTTGAGTAGGCTGTCCATTGTGAAGGTTTGTTTTGAAGTAACCATGGCTTGATTTGGTGAAAGGTAGATGATGTGGTTACCCAGGAGGAGGCTTTTGAGTGGTGATAAGATCAGTCCATATGATGGTTGCGTTTGATGCTACGGAGTCTAACATTTGTCTCATAGCCAGGTTTCGTCTTCAAGCAAGATTGAGGGTGACGATTTTGATGGTGATATTGGAATAGATTGTTTGAGTAGGCTGTCCATTGTGAAGGTTTGTTTTGAAGTCTCAATTAGTAAACCAGGGCTTGGTTTGAGCTTTAAAAAGTCAGTTGCTCAAGGCGATGGGTTTGAGATTAATTATGTTGGAAATATTACACCTTGCTTTCTTCAGGTGCATATGCCTTGCTTTGCATCTTGCAGCTTGTGCGCTAGAAGGTCCTTGCACTTTCATCTCTTGCTTATACAACATTGTGTTGGCTGGCACTCTGAGAATCAAATGTACCCTGAGCCAAACGAATCAGACGTATACCAAGCACATACCATTATGGGTGGATCTAGGTGGGTTTGCCATTTAACCTGCCCTATTGACACCCTTCATTTCAGAAGGTGTCATGTTCTCTTAAGATTAGTTTTTGATCATGGAATTGATGGCATTTTTTCATATTAATTTATTGCTCAAGACTCAGATGTCCTTAAGTGTTTTGTTCCCTTAGTGGAAAAACTGATATGCTTGAACCCAGTAAAATAGCTAGGGACTGTGCTTATTTTCAGGTCTTTTTATATGCTTTGAACTGTTTTTGATTTTGTAGGGGCTACCCCAGGTTTTACTATACAGAGTCCAGTTCCTTAAAGAGGCACTTCTCCTACCGGCTCTTACTAGTGGAGATGAGAAAGTTATTAGTGGTCTTGCATGCTTGATGTCGGAAATTGGGCAGGCTGTAAGTTTTGAATATTTTCAATCTGGAATTTGAGTTTTATCTTTTGCTTTATATCTTCCCTTTTTAAACTCTTTACTTGTCTACTAGCAATGAACCTTTGTTTCCTAAATAAATGACTGCTGTTTACATTAATAAAAGAAATTCTGAAATGTATTAAATTTGATCAAATATCTCTAAGATTGGATTTATTCTTTACTTTTTTTGTCTAATTCATTTTACTGGTTACATTAGGCTCCGGCGTTGATTGTTGAAGCAAGTACTGAAGCACTTGTGCTTGCAGATGCACTTTTGAGGTAGCATCCACTTGCTATTATTTTATGCTCTAATGAATTTTCTTCAACATCTTCTGCAGTATTTTCTCAGTGGTTCTATAATCACATTCTAAGTATAAATAAAAGGTTGATTGTATCTGTGCGAGACAGTTATGCATGCATAGAACTGTGTTATAGTAAATAAATGTGTTTTCACTTTTGCAGTTGTGTAGCTTTTCCAAGTGAAGACTGGGAGATTGCTGATTCAACATTACAATTCTGGTATGCTTCTGGTTAGAAGTTTTGTACTTCATTTTTCCTGGCACATAGTATGCATTTTTTATCTTTGTTTAATGAATTGTTTTAGTAGGCAGGATATCATGGGCCAACTTTTTGAAAAAAATGTGGTCATACTAGTTGGCATCTATAGGATTATGCTGGGATATGAAAAATAAATTGTAGAACTTGATATGAATTTCAAGAAACCTTTACATGTCACTCTAACGTTAATGACTTAACTGGCCACTTGTTTTGCATTGGGCCACTTTCTGAAAAATAGTCATATTAGTCAGCATCTGTAGGACTATGCTGGGATATGAAAAATAAATGGTGGAGAACTTAATATGAATTTCAAGAAACCATTACATGTCACTCTTACATATAATGTCAAATGACCATTTGTTTTGCATTGGTTTTTCTCTTAGGTGTGGTCTTGCAAGCTACATTCTAGGGCTTGATATGGTTCAGGGAAATAGCAGAAAAAATATGGAAGACATGTTTTTGCCTGTATTCTCAACATTACTTGATGCCCTCTTGTTGCGTGCTCAGGTTTTTCTCTTTTCTTTCTTCCATCCATTGTGTTTGAGGACAGATATGAAATGAATTTTATATTTCTCAAAGGTAGTTTTGGGCGCAGTTTCTGAGTGTTGCTTTTCGAATTTTAGTCTCAATAGATTTTCATTGCAGTTTTTTGGCATTTAAAACTTGCTGAGTAAGCCATAAACTGCTTCCCAAGAAGGAAAAATTGAATTGCAACCAAAAGCTATGGAGATTATAACTTCGAGAATACCTTGTACTTTTTTGAAATGTCTTAATTACCCCTTGCACATGTTTAAGAAACTACTTTTAACCAGAAAGATTGATCAATCACCACTTCTTGTATTTCCTCACTCCTTCCTGAAGCTCCTCTTAGAAAGCAAAAGTTGTGCCAATTGGCTCAATATAGTATCTTGTGCTTTTTGGTGGTTCGTTGCCTATCTGATTTATCAGCAAGTATTCTGGAGGATTATTCTCTCTCTCTCTCTCTCTCTCCCTCCCAGGCCTTGACTACAATTTAGGTCATTAGGTCTATCAAAGATTTTGAATGCACACTTCTACTGAAAATATGATAGTACAGATGTTCTCAGTAGTCTGAAATTTCTGAATGTGGCTTTCCTATTATGAAAGCCTAGCATTGCTTAGGAAATAGAATGAGAGCCTTGCCTTCATCTATACAAGGAGAGAACCATGTGTTGAAGTCTGTACCCTATTTTGTGTTATAGGCTCAAAGCTAACCCAAGCTTGGCCATGCTTTGGTCAGTGCAACATTTTTTCATGTATTATATATCATATAATTTACAATTTTATAAATAGTTATAAAATTTATAAAATAAATAATCCATCTATTAACAAAATTTTATAAATAATTAAAATGTCATTATTTAATGCCACAGGCCTGGCCTAGTGTTTTAAAACTGCAAGGCACAGAAAAAGCGCAAGCCTATTTTGTGCCCGAGGCGCAGACCTTTTTGAAGCAAGGCACACAAATGCTAAAAAATTCAAAAAAAAGATTGCAAAATATTAAAAATATTAAACACAATATTAATTAAAAATATAGTCAAATTTTAAAATAAATGTTTTAGAGAAACGATTATCTTTAAAATATATAAGCATAACATGTAAAACATATTTAAAATGAAAATTTAAAAATAAAATCAAGGATAACATATAAAACATATTCAAGTGTGTAAACTCTTAAATCTCTGTATTTTTTTTTTTCACAATGGCATTACTTCAAAAGTTCTAATAGCTAATGTGTTGTTAAACATTATGCATTCCTAATTCTTTGAGCCACCTTTGTACCAAACAAGTCTATATAAGGGTCTTAACTTCTTAATCCCTATAAAAAAAGGTTTTATAACTTTAGGTGTCTTTGAAAAATATCTTTTATTAGGATGAATGGATGCACAACATTAGGAAAACAGAAAAAGTCCACAGATTTTCAAAAGGCATGTGCCTGGGCTGAACACGGTGCACTAGGTGTGCACCTTTTGAAAATGCTGTGCCTGGGATCTAGGCAAGGTGCATACCCTAAAATGCACCTCACTTGTGTGCCTAGGCATGGCTTTTAAATCACTGGCCTGGCCCATGATCACCCCTATTTAGGACCCTCAAGCATGGGATTAAAGGTGGAGTATGGAGGAACTGGTGGTGAGTGGGGCCAAATGGAAAAGAAAATGCTACAAGGCTGCTTTGCATGGACATTGACATACATGGGAATCATAATCTGAAGCATGTGCTGGAGTCTGACTTGCCAAGATGAAAAACAAGGACTCACAAACAAACAACAAAAAGGTTGAGGTCTATCCTTGTTAATATTTTGTAGGAAGAATAACATTCATTCTATACATCAGCTGTTCATTTTGTAGACAGTCCTAGTTGTAGGTCCTACTGCAATACAGTAGCTTGCATAGAAGATATCATGTATAATTGTTGTATTTCTTGTTATCTTAGCATGCTGTCCTAATAAGGGCATTTTTATAAATGTACTATATTTTGCCCAGCTTAAGAAAACTTTGCTCACTGGGAGTGGGGGCATTCATTTGAATACACCCCCTCAAGTGTTCTGTTTTTTCTTTGTTGCATACCTGAAACCCTAGATTGAGTTACATGGTATGAGAACCAAAATTTGTGTTAGTTTACACCATGGAATGCTGATGTGCTTGTGACAAGAAGGAAGCAAGAAACCTGGTGCATCCTGCTCATAGTCTGTTACATTACTGTTCTTGGAGCTCTTCAAATCTTTGTAATAAGTCTGATTGTTAATGAAAACTTAGTAGGAGTTTTTTTTCAGGGGGAGTTAAGGCAGGAAGATCTAGATTCCTTCCCGTTTTTTATGAGTTTTGAGTCTGCATTTGTGCCAACTTGATTCTCTTTGGTTTTGAGGGTCTATTAGACCTCATGTTGAAGCATTTTTTTGCTTAAGTGTCAGCCATCCTGTTCGCAGTGCTTACCCAACTAAAATAATGTTCAGCTCCTTGACAGGCTCTCTATTTCCCTAAAAGCATGGATATAGATCCATGGTACTTGATGCTTACTCCTGGCCCTAGAAACAACCAGTTTTGAGTCTCCTACATCCAAGTGTTGGAAATTTGATTGCTTAGCAAGTCTAAAGCCTTGTAGCAATGACATCAGTTCATCCATTAGTGAGTCTCCCAATCGTAAGGGTCCCGAAAACATGGTCAACACACTGCCTGCACAATCTCTAAACACACCACCAATACCTGTCAATCCGGATCTTCCCATGGAGCTCCTATCAAAATTTAATTCTATTCTGTTAGCTGTTGGGGGGTTTTCATTCCATAAACACCTTTTCCTTTTCTTTAGAAGAATGTGGCACATCATTCCACGCCCTTAAAATATCATCAGCTGAATAGTCTTTGAAAAGATCAAGTGTCTTTAGCCAATATACAGCTTTGACTTTTATGGCCTCAAAGATTTCCTCTTTCGATCTACTCTTCTTGCTGAATATCCTACTATTCCATTCCTCTCAAGTAGTCCACACTGCTGCTGCTCTCATGAGTTTTCACATAACTCTTGCTCTCTTTTTTGGCTGTCTAAGGAAACTTGGACTGAAAAAGCTAACTACATCCTATGGAGGATTCCACGTGCAACCAAAAAGAGAACTGAAGAAGTCTCAAACACAAAGCACAAATGGGCAAGATAGCAATAGATGAGGTAAGGATTTAGCACTTGCAAAGCAAAGGAAGCACATATGAGGCAATAGGCTTGTTGCAAATCTCTTTCACTGGGAAAATATTCCCTCAAAGTATTAGGCTGCATAAGGGCATTGGAAAAGAAAGTACAAGTAAACACACCATTTGGAGCACAAGACCAAATTCTTGTGTCCTCCACTGATTGCTCCAGAAAAGCTTGATTAAGGTTATACAACAAATTAGTGTGGGCTTTACACTCACTATCCCTCAATCCCCTTCTAAAGTCAAAATATCAGTTTACTCTAGAAGGAGAAAAAGTGACAAATCTCGAAACAGGTTGTAGTTTATATTTTAGACAAGTAACAAAGGCTGGGGATAGCCAACTTGAGAGGAGTTTGTATCAACCAAAGGTCTTCCCAAAACAAAACTTGGGTCCCACATCCCACATCAAAATGAGTAAAGCTAATAAAAGTTGGATATACCTCTTGTATTGATTTCCAAGGAGAAAGTGAAGTTGAAGAAGGGGCTATCTTTGCATTACAACCATTGTTCAGCATCCCATGAATGCTTACAATTACCTTATGCCAAAGCCTATCCCTTTCCAATGGAAACCTCCATAGCCATTTACCTAAGAGTATTGTATTTCTACACATTATGTTCTCTATTCCAAGCACTCCTTGCTCCTTAGGCTTACTAACTTGCTCTCACTTCACTAAATGGTCTCTCTTCTCATCCCTTAACCCCCACATCGTGGACTAAATCCTCATTCTCCCAGAGTTCTAAGTAATCACAAAGGAAGATCTTGGTTCTGGATTTTGGAGCACTTTGCAGCTAGCTTAATATTTTTTTTTTCCCTTTCGTTTGGACTATGTTTTGTTCTCCTTTTTCTTCTCAGTGTATCTTTCTCTTGTTTTGTTCCCTTTTGTGGCTTTGCTCTCTAGTGATATCTAATCATTATCAAATGTACTTCTTTTTCTATTAATAAATTTTCTTTTTTATTTACTACCAAAAGAGAAAGGAAATCCCTCATAATCTTTTCTAACTGACCTTCTACTCTAGTTGGAATACAAAGGAAGTATATAGGTAGGTTGGCTAAAGTTGCCCTAATCAAAGTTATTCTTCCACCCATTGAAATGTAATTCCTTTTCCAGAGTGCTATTCTTTTGGTAAATCTCTCAAGTACTAGTTTCCAAAATCTTATATTCTTGAGTTTCTCCCAGTAGGAGTCCAAGATAATCCAAAGGCTAGTTCCTCACCTCACCCTAGAATCTCTGCCAACACGCTTAGCTCTTCCTCCACATTAATCCTTGCTGCACAACTCTTTCCATGGTTTACCCTCAAATTGGAAACAATCTCAAAAGCAATGATGAGTTCCTTTAAGTTCCTCAAGTCATTTTCATTGCCTTCTTCACAGAACACAATTCTATCATTTGCAAACTGCTAGTGGGTGACTACCACCTTATTTCTTTCTACCCTCCAGCCTCTAATCAAACTAGCCTGATCAGCCTTAGCAACCATCCCACTTAAAACATCTGCTATCAAGGTAAAGAGGAAGGGTGATAAGGGATCTCCTTGTTCTAACCCTCACATGGTTGGAAAAACGTCTCTAGCCACATGATTTGTCAAAATTGAGTAGTGTACTAAACTGAAGCATCCTTTAGTTCACACCCTCCACCTATCACCCAACCCAACCTTTTCTAGAATTTCAAGGAGGAAGGACCAATCCACTAGATCATAGGCCTTCTCGAAATCTAGCTTGCAAACTAAACCCCTTCCCCTCCTTGATCTCTTTTCTTCTACACACTCATTAGCCACCAAGATTTGATCAATGATCTGCCTCCCTTTCAATTATAGCACCTGGGAACTGTGAAATCACTAGAGACAAAGTCTTTTTAAATCTTCTAGTGAGGACCTTTGCTATTATGGGTCTAAAATCCTTTGGTACTCCAGCTTCCTTCTTCTTGGGAGTTAAAGCAATACAAGTTGAATTTGCTCCTCAAGAGATTTCCCCATCATGAAAAAACTTATTAAAGACTTCCACCAAGTCATCCTTCATGATTTCCCAGCAATCCTGATAGAAGCCATAGAGTTCTGGTTTGAACCAGAACTTTTCTGGAACTTAAGCTGTGGCGTTTTCTTGTAATCTTGGGTTCTAAGAACTTTATTGCAATCTGCTTGAGAGTTCTGATATCTCACAGAATGCTCTTTGTCCTATTGGCTAAAGTTTTAGTCTGGTCTCACAAGCTTTGGAACCAAAAATGGCATCTGACAAGTCTGAGCTTCTCTCAGTTAGGTTTGATGGAACAATCTGTAGTATGTGGAGGTTCCAATTCAATTTATGTTAAGGGAAAAGGACATTGGGGATTGTTTGTTGGCATAAGAATCACCCAGTAGATAAATCTGTAGAGATGGAACAATGGGAACTAGACAAAGCAAGATTATTTCTTGGTTGTTGGACTCAGTGGACACAAACATTGCATTTTAACTTTAAGGATTTCAGATGTCAAAATCCATGTGTGATTATTTAGATAAAGTATATCAACCAACACATGTGGCCCAAAAGTTTCGGTTACTTTCTTATTGATTGAACTTGAAATGATGCATTTCACAAGTGTTCTTTCCATTAATGAGAAATTTCAGAAGATCAATAATGGGAAGGTCTTGGAGTTTCTCATGAATCTGCATTTGGAATTTGAGATGGTTCGAGCTAGCATTCTTTATCGTTCAGCTATTAGTGACATGGATTCTATTCTTGGGGTATTGTTAAGGGAGAGGATGTAGAGAAGTAGGATTGATGGGGAATTTTTTTTCACTTGGGCTGCAATCCTTAATAAAATCCAAACTATGGACAATTTAAGGGCAAAGGGTATGTTTTCGGTGAACTGGTGCCCACTCTGCTAGAAGGGTTGGGAGTCAGTAGAGCACTTACTCCCCCACTGACTGTCCTTACTCTTTGAGGGATTGGACCCATCTTATCATTCTTTTTGGAAAATCTTGGGTTTTTCCCTAAGGATATTAGTGCTTTGTTTTCAGCATGGCCTGAAGGGTGCTTCCGTAAGAAGGAAGTTGGCTTTGGCTGTCCTCTTCTCTTGTTTTATGCTGTGGTTTGTGGGGAGAAGTATAGTCAAATTTTTAATGGCAGTGCTTCTCCTGTGGAGGCAGTTATAGGAAAAGCAGAGAGGCTACTATTTTTGTGGGCTTCCCTGAAGAAAGATTTTTTTGGGTTTTCTTTTCAGCACATTTGTAGTCAGTGGGGTCAAAATTTTGGCTATAACCCTGGCTTACCTGTAATTTCTGATACTTTTGGTTCCCTTAACCTAATAACATGGTTAAGGGGTGAACATCTTATCTTCATATCTGATTCTGTATTTCTTTTATTACCGATTAAAAATCCTCATGAAGGGAAACACAAAGAGTGACTGGTGACCCCAATTGCAAATCCAGAAAATTGCAAAACATCATCCAGCATGAATATTGTTCACAGATTCCCCACCTTCAAGGCGCGATATGCAATTTAACAGGGATATTTGTCAATTTTTTGGATTGATACGAGTGAAAATTTCAATAATGTAAGTAAATATTATTTACAAAAAAATGGGAGGGGATATAGGTCACCAGCATTATGCATAAATACATAAAATTTCTTTACATGTCCTCTGTGGCATTCTTTATCTGTGGATTTGTTTAATGAATAGAAAGGATATTTTATTGAAGTTATGTTTTATTGTATTAGAGTTTTTACATAAATAAGTCATCCTTGTTATTTAAATTTTCAGCAATGAATCTTCTGTCCATGTTTAAAACTTTTTTTGTGAAGCAAATGAATGTTTCTGAATGAGGCCGGAACTTTTAACTTGCCTAACTTAGGGTGGATGATTGGGCATTTAATTAAATGTTTTAATTTAATGATCTGGCAGGTGGATGATTCTACATTTAATGATGATTCTGGAACTTCTGATTTGCCTGATGGCCTTACCCATTTTAGGACAAATTTGGCGGAGCTTTTTGTGGATATTTGTCAGCTTTTAGGATCGGCAACATTTTTGCAAAAGGTTGCATTCTATCTGTTCTTGAAATGCYTTTTTGTTTGCTTGTTTATTATGAACTGTAATAGAAATGGATAGAATTAGGGTTCTTGGTCAATGTTTGAATACAGATGGATATTCTTTTATTCACCTTTGGTCCAATGGGTGATCCTCCTTCAGTTATTCTTTGTAGCGTCCAATGGGTGACACCCTTTATGCCGAATATTAACTCTTCTAAAAAACTATGACTATTAACTCTTTTAAGAACCTCTTCCTTTGTAACATATTTGTACTTAACCTCTCATACTGTTTTTTTTTTTTTTAAAGTAAAAAGAAATTCATTAAAGGATGTGACTTAACCTGTAATTTATAAATTAAACAAGCAAAAACCTAGTAAAAATCTAGGAGACAGAGATTCAGTTGAGAAAAGGAGAAACAAAGAGAAGAAGATTTAGAAAAGAAAAGGGCTGAGAGTTTGTCAGTATTGAGAGACTCAACTGCTGCCCTTATGACTTATATTTATAAAAAGTGAAAATTACACAATTACCCCTGATTATGTGACTTAAGAACAAAGACTATAAGAACCATAAATAAAAGAGGAAAAAAGATTAAATCGACCCTGCACAAACACTATAATTTAACACTCCCCCTCAAGGTGGAGCATATATATCAGAAAGCTCCAACTTGTTATAGATATACTTCACCTGTGATGGTTAAATAAATCAGCTTCCCCACTAATCTCCTGTATCGTCCAAGATCAGCTAGGGGCTCCACCTCACTATCAAACATCTTCACATTCAGATCTATAGGGGTATCCACGGGCTTTTCTCCTAATAGATTGGTTTCTTCCAACAAGTCAAGAACATACTTTCTTTGTGAGAGAGAAATTCCCCACTTTGACCTTCTACTTCTATGCCCAAAAAAATATTTTAAGTGCCCCAAGTCCTTAGTCTAGAACTGGTTTTGTGGGAATTGTTTGAGTTCTTCAATTCCATGCTCATCACTCGCAATAATAGTGTCATCACCATAGACTGTCAACACAATCTTCCTAGATGTAATATACTAAACACCGAGTGATCAACCCTACATTGTGTCATCCCAAACTGCTGTACCACACTACTAAATCTCTTAAACCAGGCCCTCAGAGATTGTTTCAGCCCATAGATTGCTTTCTTTAATCGATACGCCTTTCTCCTCCCCCGAGGTTGCTCCATATATGCCTCCTCTTCTAGGTCATCATGGAGAAAAGTATTTTTGATATCTAACTGAAACAATGGCCAATCAAAGTGTGCAGCCAAGAAAATAAGCAATCAGACTAAACCCATTTTAGCGACAGGTGAAAGGGTATTGGTATAATCAACTCCAAAGGTTTGTGTATACCCTTTGGCTTCCAAATATGCTTTATATCTTTCCACACTACCATTTGCGCAGTGCTTAATTGTATGAACACACGGACAACCAACTGACTTCTTCCCAGGAGGAAGAGAGGTAAGGTCCCAAGTGTGATTAGATTGAAGAGCTTGAAATTTGTCATCCATCGCCATCTTCCATTCCGGAGAGAGGAGAGCATGATGAAGGGACATGGGAACATGGGAACAAACACAGACGAAAGAAGATACACAATTTTTATAGGATGGAGACAAATGTGCAAAGGAAACATAACGAGAGATAGGATGTTTAGTACAAGCACACTTTGCGAATAGCAATGGGTAGGTCTAAGTGAGAATAATCCATCGACGAGGGAGCCAGTGATTGCTGATGTGAAGCTGGAGTAGGCTGAAAACACTATACTACGAGGACCAGGAGTATACACTCTATGAATTGGTGGTCGCATGGGTTCCTGAACAATAGGAGCTGTCATGGGCACCTCCTCCATAGGTAAAGGGAGGGGAGGATGGGATACGCTAGCAACAGAAATGGGCTCAGCTGACGAAAAGGGAGGGGAGCTGTCACAGTCACCATTGACCTCTTGAATATGTTTGGTCAATTTGTCTATGATTAGTGCAAACAAATAGGAAATTTTTTACTTATAGAAGTCTCAAAACAAGAACTAATACAATTTGATCACAATCTATGTATCTTCCTCATTAAAAATTGTCAATATCACACTCCAACAAAATGGGCAAATAAAAGAGATCTCATGCTTGAAAAACTACCCTCCCAAAGGAGATCCTACTTAATATCTTGAATTACTTAAGCATCAAATAGCATTGAAGAAAAGAACCATTGTCTGTTGAAAGATGTCTGATTGGATGGGACTTCAAAAAACCCTTCAATTTCTTTCCTACTAAATCCTCTTTCTGCAACAAGAATTATTTCCCAACAAGTTCTAGCTTTGTCATTTATTTATGTTTGAGGAGGAACTAGATTTCTGTTGCAACTTTAGCCCCCAGATTACCATCAAATGTATGAAAGTAGATGGTAAAGTAAATCTGAAGTTAAAATTATGTTCTGGTGATATTATAATGTGAGAATTGATCTTGTACACAAAGATGAAAAATTTCCAATGAGAAACGAGATGATATTCAAGGTGACATTGTATGCTGCCTCCAATTAGTTCACCAGAGGCAGACAAACAATTCGGTAGCTGCGTGAAAAGTGTTGGATAGTTTGAAACATGTCCAAGAAATGAGTGTGGCAGAACTGGTGAGGTACAGCATAGAACCTCAGGACGATATAACTCCTGAAATGGAAAAGAACGAAGGTTTCTCAATGGCCGGAAAATGGAGAAGAGTGGTTACAGCAGAGAGAAAAGAGTTCTTGCTGGAAGAGATTGTATACCAGAAGAAGTTTACGATAAAGATAAGAGAAGGAAGAAGAGGAACGATACTGTTAGTGGGTGAAGCTGTATCATGGTTTCAGAGCTTTATGGCAGAACAGTGCATGTAAGTTGGTGTAGGGCCTGGAATAGTACCATTAGGCAGTTAAGGAGGGAATACTTTGCTGAGAGAAGGAGAAACTACAACGGATGGTTCATTGTTTTGGAAGAAAAATTTGAGCAAGGAAAAAAACAAAGGATCATAATACCTAAAGGCAACAAGCAGCAAGGTTGGAATATGATTGCAAACAAGCTACACCGAAGAATGGTTGAGAGAGAGAATGGGGTAATAAGGCTACCAGAAAAAATGACAGCAGTAATGGGAAAGGAGGAAATGACAGAGAGAAGGAAAAAATTGGAGAGGTTTGGCTTAGAAGAAAATGCTGAAACTCCAGACTCAATGGTGGTGTCTCTTACAACACCAGAATCAAGGATCTCATTGGAGGGGGAGAAAGGAAGTTGGGAGCGGAGATTAATCCTGTCGGCAAAGAAAGAAGTAAATGACTGGAAAGGATTACTAGAGGAGATGACATCCAAGCTTGGGATGCTTCAAACTGTTATATTAATCCCTTTTAGTGATAGAAAAGCTGTAATGGATGGGGGGGGGGAGGGAGATGGACTTCACAACCGTAGAAACAAAAGAGGGTACTGTAACAATAGAGAACTGGTGCCCTTCGGCTAATATAGTATAACTGGTGATGGGAGTATCAAGTTGAAGCTTCTGGGCTTGCCTTTCCACTTATGGCAAAAAACCGTTCTCCAAAAAATAGCGACAACCATGGGTGGTGCTCTCTTATCATTCAAGATGGCAGACTTGAGAGCAGTGAATATGAAGGTCGCCGGTGTGAAACCTGAAGCAATTCCAAGAACTCTCAATCTTTGTGCTAACGGTTACTGGTACAAGATCTGGATCGCTTCAGAAGTGGAAGCATTGCTCTGGTATGGAATGTCGAAGCTTGAAGATGATGGTGACATGGCTAGGTGGGTTACACTTGGCGAAGAACAGGGACTGAAAGATGGACACATGAGCAAACTCGGGAAGGAAAACTCTCTTGGGAAGGAAGACTCACCCCCTTTGGAAGTTGAACAACCAGAAATAAATAGTTGCCTATTTAAAGAAAAAAATTTAAATTGTTTTGAACTGAAAAACGTAGATGGCCATTCTTTCGCAGAAGTTGTCAAAAGGGTAATCCGGTCGGACCAAGGTCTGGGCCCACCCAAAGGAGAGAAAAACGTGCGTAGTTCCCGATCCGATCCAACTGGTTTCCTAGTGGGTCAAACAAGGTCCAACCGGAAGAGAGACCCACTGTTTTCACTCGACTCATGTGATACTTTAAAAGGTTACGTGAGTAGAGTCCCTTTGGTTACGACTGGAGACCATATTGGTGCTCTATCATCGTCCCCACAGGAACTGCAACTGAGCGATTCCCGAAACATCCGAAGAAACAGAAGCGAGGTGACGTTAAATTTGCAGTGGGTTCCAGTCTCCAAATCCGAAGTAGGGAACCATGGTAAATTGGGAGAAGATTGTCCAAACCCTAGGTAATCCAAAGGTTGGAGAGAGGAGTTCGAAGAGGAGGACAATGGTTGGGTTCACTGCGAATCCTCAAATGATGACTACGAACCAGATTCAGAGACGAAGAGCGATAGTTTTGGGGAAGATACGAAGGAGAAAGAGGAGGTGGAGGATTTGCTTAGAATTGTTTGTTGTAGAATAGAACGATGTAGACTCTACTCTAAAACCTCCTAATAATGGTGGAATGTTGAGAGAAGCAGAGTACATTTTGGAGGGTAAAGGGAAAAATTGTGTAATGGAAAGAGGATCACCAAGTCAGAAATTGAGCAGTGGGCAGGGAACATGTAAGATGATAAAAGTCAAATTTGAAACTTCTGATAAAGGTATCACAGGAGGGGATAGACGACAGAGCGATGGAAGTAATTGTGAGTGTGAATCAGGCTCAAGAAGTTCCTTACCAAAATCTATTCTGTGAGTGAATTGTGAAACCCTTACCATTGCCGAGTCTACCTCAAGCTCAGTTCTAGGTGTGTTTGTGTTTTTGGGTTTTGGTACTAATTCTAGCTCTGGTCTTGCTGTTTGTACTCCAGGTCCCAGATCTGCTTCCATGCCGATTGCCCATGATGTAGTTGAGACACAAGAAAAAGAGCAGAGAGGGGAGAAAGTGTGGAGTATTATAGTGGAAGAGCTTAA